AGTCGGAGGCTTCCTGGGGCCGCTTGGGGTCCTCTTGGGGTAGGGGGGAAGCCTCCTGAAGCCGCTTGGGGTCCTCTTGAGCTTTGGGGGGCTTCTTGGAAGCATCTTGGGGCCTCTTGGGAGCTTATTGGGTCCTCACGGCGGGCTCTTGAGGCCTCTTGAAGGCCTCCTGGGGCAACGTATGGCGCAACCAGTAGGGAGCGTTTTATTCTCGGCGGCCGAGGGCGCAACCTATGGCGCAACCAATAGGAGGGCGTTTTATTCTCGGCGGCCGAGGGCGCAACCTATGGCGCAACCGCAAGGGATTCGCGAACCCCGTTGCAAGAGCGTGCGAAAGTAGCTCGCGCGAGCTCATGTAACATAAATGTTGGAAAACCATTGGTTTTTTGAGGATTCGGACAGCGCGCGCGGGTGGAAATTTTGAAAAGTCGTGCAGCTGTTTTTCGAGGACCTACGGTGCGATTCGTGTGATTTTATGATGCGCGATGGTAAAATTCTTAAAAACCCAATGGTTTTTGTAGATTTCGGCGTGCGCGCGCGAAGAAAAAACGAATGTGTCCCGCATGGTATTATTTGACAGGGATGATGGCCCTGGCAGGTGCGCAACCGTTGTCGCAGAAGTTTGAAAAAGTTGCTCGCAAAAGCCCGTTTGACAAAATTGTTTAAAAAGTGATGGTTTTCCTACGAATCCGCAAGAGCGCGCGGGATGAGATTTTGACAATTTTTTATTTAAAAAACCATTGGGTTTTTGATGTTTTTATGTTGAAATCGTTCCGAAACCTAAGGTTTTGGAAGGATTTCGTCTTGCACGCGCGAATGTCCACTTTAGCTTATTTTTTGCAAGGGATTCTTGAAATTGGATTACATTTGAACAAGAAATTTCATTTTATAGTGTTTTTTGCAAGGGAAAGCGGGGGGGAACAAAACAACCGGATCCGGTACTAATCCACTTTTCTGAAGCTTTCGCGAAAAAATAATGAAAATGTAGCTGCGGCCTAGGTTTTGGAGGGGGGTCGTGTACCAGGGGTCCCAACAATAATTATTCTTTAGAAGTAATAATGTTCAACAACATCATCAACAACAACAACGCCAACAACAACAAGAACAACAACACCATCAACAACAACAACCACAACAACAACAATGCAACAAGCAGAATCCTCACCACGGATCCCCATTTCAGCCCCGCACCCAGGGACAATGAATGACCGTTCGCCCCCCTCAGCCTGATACGTGTCGTGGCGGGCGCTGTCTGGCCGCACCGCTCGGGAAGCGACGTACTGCAAGATGGGTGTACTAGATGTTCGGGTCGGGCGCGCGCCTGCAAGGGGGACACAGTATTAGTATGTCCCTGTGCGTCCCATGCAGGATCCCCATCTCACCACCCACCAAACCACCCCAACCCAACCCGAAGGCTCAGGTTTACCCTCGATTTCCAGTGGGGGGGGTCGGGAAACATCGAAAAAACACATGTGGAACCCGTACCCCCCCTAACCCGAAATTCGGGTCTTCGGGTTGGGTTGGGGTGGTTTGGTAGGTAGTCACTCCTGCTGGAGGGGCGTTGCCGCGCTGCAGCCAGCAGCCCAGCAGAGGCGCCCTCGCCGGCCTGCAGGAGCACTGGCCCTGCGCCCCTGGTGGTCCTCGGAGGGGGGCTCGGACATCCAGGGGCTTCTGAGGCTGCCTTGGAGCCCTTCGGGCTCGCCCCTCCTCCTCCTCCTCCTCCTCCCTCTCCTCCTCCTCCTCCTCCTCCTCCTCCTCCTCCTCCTCCTCCTCCTCCTCCTCCTCCTCCTCACTCCTCCTCCTCCTCCTCTCCTCCTCCTCCTCCCCTCTTCCTCCTCCTCCTACTCTTTTGTTACCTCCCTCCTCCTCCTCCTCCTCCTCCTCCTCCTCCTTGCTTTCTCCTCCCTTGTTATCCTCCTTTCTTCCTCTCTCCACTCAGGCGCCGTCCGGCTCTCGAGGGGCCGCTGGGTGGGGAGCAGGCGCCAGGCACCTGCGAGGACGCTCCCCGCGCTGGCCCCACGCGACGGCCGCCGCCACGGCTGCCCGTCCTCCCGCACGGCTCAGGAACTTGCCACCGCCGCCTCTCCAGCACGGCCGCGAGCCAGCCGGCCAACGCCCCCGGCACGGCCGCGCCGCCATCAGGAACTTGCGTGGCACCGCCGTGCCCGAGCGAAGCGCTCTCCAGCGCGGGCGGCGACTCTTCGGCGAACACCGACTCGTCGGCAGCGAAGACTGGTGCAGCGCTCCTCATGGCGGGCATCTGGGTCGGGCTCATCGCCCCCGGGTGCGCGGACGTGTCCTACGTGTGGCGCCCGGAAATGGCAGCACTGATCCAAGAGTCGAGTGCGCGCGCCAGCCCGAGAGTATGACACTCGGAAAGCTCCCAGGGCCAAGTCCAGAGGCAAGACCCCCACGCCCAAGGGTGGCAAGGGCAAGGAAGGCAAGGAGGCTAGTATCAGTAAGGACAGTCCGGCAAGGACCAGGGCAACGGCAAGGGCTATGCGCGGCCATCCAGTGCAGTTCCGTCATGCTCGCATCAGACTCCCGCTTCGCCACAGAACGAGCTCGAGGAGGACGGCGAGGATTTGGAGGATCGGACCTCCGCCAATGACCTCGTCCATTCGCCCTGCGTCACCATCGGAGGCAGCTCTACATCCGATGCGGCGCACGCCGCAGCCGCCAACAGTTACCGATGCGGAGACGGAGGCATACCGCCAGAAAGCAACGGCACTGCTCGAGGCGTTGGACACCTAGTCCACGAACGGTACCAGGCCAAGCAGCCCACGGAGGACGCGGCTCGAGAGCACGCAGTGACGCTCACCATGATGAATCAGGTTCGCGGGCTAGGCGAGCATATTGCCAAAAAGGGACGAGGCGGTCCAGAGGGCCAAGAAGGGTATAATGAAACCACCGACGACACCGACAGGACGGCCATCTTTCTCGACTCGCTGAGGGCAGATGACGGACCTTGCCAAGAGGACTTGGCACACATGAGAACGGCCCGTGCCGAGCTCTGGATGCTGACAGGAGAGGGGCATCGTCAAACCGCCAGTCAGGTTGGTCAGACTGCCGACAGCGAGGTGCAGCCCGGCCGAGCCGTCCCGCAGAATGGCGCAGGTCCGCAACCCGGCCACGCCACAGTCACCCATGACCCCTCGGAGACGGGCGCGCTGAGGGCCGAGGGCGGCAAGGTTCGTTGGAGGGTTGCCTGGAAGGTCTCCTGACAGGTTTTTGGCAGGTCTTTTGGACGGTGTTTTGGACGGTGTTTTTTTGCAAGGTTTGCTGGAAGGTTGTTTGGAAGGCTGGTTGGAAGGCTGTTTGGAAGGTTTTTGGAAGGCCCCTATCGGGCGACCTCGCCCAGCCCCCACGGGCGGCGGCAGCCCAGGGCCTCGGGCCGCAGCCGCAGCGTCGGGTCCGTGCGAGCAAGGGCTCCACAAGGACTGCGGAGGGCGATCCATGGAGAGGAAGCATGCTGCAAAATATCTTCCAGGTGTCCAACAGATGTTTCAAACATGTGTTTACATATGTTAAAGCAAGTTTGAAAACACATGTTTAGAGCATGTTTTACACACGTTAAATACGTCTTCAATTCAAGGATAGGATTGTTAGAGTGTCCATCGTCGTGGCATCCGCAACGCAAGAGGGTGCCAGAGGCTCCTCTCCCCCGCATTTCTGAGAATGACGAGCTTGTGTCAAGTTCGGACTGGCCGGCACAACGAGGGCAGATGGACCAGCGCCCAGAAGCTGAGAATGTCAGCCAGGACGCCGGACCTGATGGGCCCAAATGCCCCTGGCAGACTCATGATGCTTGCTCGGCAGTGTTCCAATGGAGGCCATGGCGTGGCGGCTACCATCGACGCGCGTTTCCTTGCGCGCATGCCACAGCGAGTGGCGGACTAGTTATTTGGCTTCCAATGCAGATCGCAAAGATGGGGGGACGAATGCTATGTCATCTGGACCCATGTTGTTGCTCCGACTGCGTCGGGACGTGCCCCAATTTCCAAGATGTACCCTTGCGAAGCCCAGCGAAGCACTGCTCGGCCTTGGTAGGATTTGTTGAGCCAAGGCAAGCTTCGGTAATTCCGAGGAAGTTGTTTTTTGTTCGTAAGTTTGCTAAACCCTGGTAAGCCTTGCTAAGCTTTGGTTAGCCACGGTAAGCTGTGTTTATCACAACAATGAGTCCTTAGTAGAGCATCCTGGGTAGGGAATGTTTGGTGGGAGTCCTTGGTAAGGGATCCTTAGTAAGGTCTCCCTTTCTGGAGCCTTTTACTTCGGGAATCCTTATCCGGGAAGCGAATCCCCAGTAGGGGTCGGGATTCCGGATTCTTACCAAGGAACCAGTTGCAATAATTATTGAAGAAGTAACCCATCGTAAGGGGTCCCAGATATGGAACGCGTGGGAATGAGCCCTTCGTAACGAGTACTTCGTAGAGGATCGTTACCAACGAATCAGTTGTATGGGGGTCATTGGTACAATAATCCTTTGTAGGGCGCCGGTAATACGTAATTCAAATCAGGAATCCTGAATCGAAAACTCCCGTACAGAATCCTCAGTATGGGAACGGAAGTACAGGATCTTTAGCAAGGAATCCTTGTTCCCCCCCAAAAAAAAATGGCCGCCACCATTTTTTTTTGGGGGGGGGGGGTAACGCACGGTGGCTCTTCAAATGAGGGAGGAAGAGAGAGAGGAGGTGGAGGAGGCGGAGGGGGGGAAGGAGGGAGGGGAAGAGGAGGGAAAGGAGGACACCACAGCGCACGCAGAGCATTTGAAACCGCACGCGCGAACTCAGTGTAAGATCCTCGCGCGCGCGCCTTCGACTCCGAGGTACTTCACAATCTCCTGTGTTCGAGGAGGAAGGGGGGGCGGAGGGGAATGGGGAGGTGGAGGGAGAAGGGGAGGAGCCGCAGGGCGAAGAGAGGGAACCTGCGACAGGATGGGGGGCAGGACTATACCAAGGAGCTGGAGGGGATAATTGTGGAGGAGCAGAGTGTACCCGCAGGTGAAACTCGGGCAGCAGAAGAACCTCTACGAGACCGTCCGCTCCGACAAGAACTTGTACTCCAAGAATTACATCGAGTCATTGGACGAGATCTCTGAGATGCGCAAGAAGTTCAAGGTGAGGATTTTGCCGTGCCAATGTCTCTTGCTCTGCGGAGTCTCCTGCCTCGTCGTCCTCCCTTCTCCTCGTCCGTCCTCCTGCTCCCTTTATTCCTTGTCCTCTATTTCCGCCGTCGTCGTCGTCGTTGTCGTCGTCTGTCGCTCCCGTTGTCGTCGCCTGTCACTCCTCCATCGTTCTCCCGGATCAATGTTTCCCCCTCGTGTCGTACCACTACACGTGTCGTCAGGTCGGGCTTCGCGTTTCCCCTGTCACTTTCTCGCCACAGCGATCTTGCAGCGTGAAACTTCTCCAACCACTGCACGGATTGTCGGCCTGACGCCTTCCACATGGGGCTCTCGCTCTGGCGCCGCTCACGCTCGTCTTCAACAATTGGGCATTTAGACTGGATGGAGGGCAAATCATTTTCAAGAAGGGGCTCTCACATTGGCACCATGCACGCTCGTTCGAAAACATAGTTGCCAGCGCTGTCCCTAAATAGCGAGTGACTACACAATGGATTTGTACGGTCGAGAGAGCTTTTGGCCCACCACGCTTCGCCGCGAAACGCTATCCAGTTCCCTGCTCCGAGCCGTTAGCGTCCCGAGCCTTTCCTAGCCACCCGCCCCGTGGAGCGGAGCGACACGCAATCCACTCGCAAGGTGTAGCGTGTCGCCTGGGCCGCCGCCACGACACGCCTTCCGAACGTTCCTGACCGTAAGGTATGTGGTGCACGCTACGTGGTGCAAGCCACGCAGTGCAAGATATGTAGTGAAAGCTATGTCGCGCAAGCTAGGCGGTGTAACGTATATGGCTTTAGCTACGCGCGTGCACAATGCGGTCCAGGCTATTCTTGTGCAAGCGGGGTGGTGCTAGCTATGCGGTGCTTTTGCTGTGTTCATTTGCCAGTTGTCAACTCCAATGCTCGCGCAATCATCCCACCCTCCGTCCCGCAATTTCTTTTGCAAAACCCGTGCGGCCTCGATTGCAGTGATTGCTTGGCATTGGCTGGCGAATCTCTACGGCTGCGCTGGCGCGCACGAGCTCGCGCGCAGAGCAGCCAGCTGGTTTGGCACAACTGATGCGACCGCGATGGCCCCTTGCGGATTGGAATTCCCCAGCGCCTTTCAGAAATGGCGTTGCCGCGCGGGCATGTCAGTGTTGGTCGGTGACTCGGGCGGGCGCTATGTCATGATGACGTCGACAACGCCAACAACGATGACGATAGTAGCGTCGGTGGTGGCGACGGTGACGATGACGGCAACCAGGCCAATGACGGCGCCGATGCTGGTGACGACAAGACGATGATGATGTCGATCTGTCGGTGATGAAGGTTGTTGACTGATGACGGCGGCAATAGAGGCGATTAGCGATGACGAGGACGGCTGTGGTGTGATGGCGCTGATGAGGTTGTTGGTGAGGGAGTGAGTGCGCTTAGAAATCCAGGGAGCTTGGCAGAAACCGTGTTGGGACACAAGTTGTTGTTCATCTGGTGCTTTTAACTTCCAAAATTCATATCTTGCAGTGCTTCGCAGGCCCATGGCGTTTGACGGACTTTGAAATGCTCGCGTGGCGGCGTTCGCGTGTGGGCCGCATGGCAGGCACTTGATACAGATCTGGGAGGTTTTCGTTTGTGGCCGACATAGGGCTCTCTTGTGGAAGGCACTTGGGTTGCCTGGCCGGTGCTGGGAGGCATTGTTGTGGTATGACCGACTGCCGCCCGAGGGTCCCGCGCGCCAAGACACTCTGTTGAGACGTCCTCACAAGTCTGTGTCCCGAGACAACCTGATCTGAGATGGTCTGGCCCGTTTCGCGTGAGACTTCCTCGCACTTCTGGGCTCCCAGACCCCGCCAGTTTCGCTTCAGACGACATCCCTGCAAATCTGGGCACAGAGATGCCGCGTACGAGGAGGTCCAGCCAGGTTCGCCTGAGCCCTCCTCGCAACTCCGAGCAGCCGCTGAAGAATACGAGGAGGAGGAGGAGGAGGAATAGGAACAGGAGGAGGAGGAGAATAGGAGGAGGAGGAGGAGGAGGAATAGGAGGAGGAGGAGGAGGAGGAGGAGGAGGAGGAGGAGGAGGAGGAGGAGGAGGAGGAGGGGAGGAGGAGGAGGAGGAGGAGGAGGAGGAGGAGGAGGAGGAGGAGGAATAGGAGAACAGGCTGGCAAGAGAGCGCCCGTGCTGCAGTCGGAGGACGAGCACCCGTGTGTGCTTCGCGGCTCTCGGGGCAACAGCCCTTGCCACGGCTGCCAGGCGTGGCGTGGGGGGACGGCGGGGCGACCCCGGGTTCGGAGGAGGAGGAGGAGGAGGAGGAGGAGGAGGAGGAGGGAGGAGGGAGGAGGAGGGGAGGAGGAGGAGGAGGAGGAGGGAGGGGAGGAGGGGAGGAGGAGGAGGAGGAGGAGGAGGAGGAGGAGGAGGAGGAGGAGGAGGAGGAGGAGGAGGAGGAGGAGAGGAGGAGGAGGAGGAGGAGGAGGAGGAGGAGGAGGAGGAGGAGGAGGAGGAGGAGGAGAGGAGGAGGAGGAGGAGGAGGAGGAGGAGGAGGAGGAGGAGGAGGAGGAGGAGGAGGAGGAGGAGGAGAGGGGAGGAGGAGGAGGAGGAGGGAGGAGGAGGAGGGGAGGAGGAGGAGGAGGAGGAGGAGGAGGAGGAGGGGAGGAGGAGGAGGAGGAGGAGGAGGAGGAGGGAGGAGGAGGAGGAGGAGGAGGAGGAGGAGGAGGAGGAGGAGGAGGGAGGAGGAGGAGGAGGAGGAGGAGGAGGAGGATAGGAGAACAGGCTGGCAGGAGAGCGCCCGTGCTGCAGTCGGAGGACGAGCACCCGTGTGTGCTTCGCGGCTCTCGGGGCAACAGCCATTGCCACGGCTGCCAGGCGTGGCGTGGGGGGACGGCGGGGCGACCCCGGGTTCGGAGGAGGAGGAGGAGGAGGAGGAGGAGGAGGAGGAGGAGGAGGAGGAGGAGGAGGAGGAGGAGGGAGGAGGGAGGAGGAGGAGGGGGAGGAGAGGGGGAGGAGGAGGAGGAGGAGGGAGGAGGGGGAGGGAGGAGGAGGGAGGAGGAGGAGGAGGAGGAGGAGGAGGAAAAGGAGGAGGAGGAGGAGGAGGAGGAGGAGGAGGAGGAGGGGGAGGAGGGGGACGGGGATGCCATTGTTCAGAAGTGGCAGCCCCAAGGGCTGTGCCGGGGAGGTGCCGGGAGGAGGGGCGGCCCCCAGAGGAGCTCGGTGCGTCCCGTGGCCCATGGAGGCTTTTCCGGCCCGCTTCTCCAGCATCCCCATACCATGAGGATGTCTTAGGCGAAACGCCCCCCCACCATATCGGATATTTGACGCCCGATCTTCAACGTCTCAATGTTCTGAAGATGTCTCAGGCGAAGGCTTTGTTTTGGGGAACCACCATCGCATAACAATTCCTACATACCCAGCTTGCAACGGACGTCTCAAGAGAAACGCCTCCCGCACCCCCGGCACGATGTTTGGTATCCACCGTCCGATGTCTAGATTTCAAGTTACAGAGGATCTCAGGCGAAAGCTTCACTTTTGAGAACCAACGTCGTACCACAACTCCTCCAACATCCCCATGTTGTGAGGATGTCTCAGGCGAAACGCTCCCACACGCCATGTCGGATATCGGACGCTCGATCACCAAAGCTTCAATTTTCTCAGGACGTCTCAGGCGAAGGAATTATTTGTTGGAACCGTTGTCGTAAAACTATTTCTCCAACATCCCCATGCTGTGATAATGTCTCAGGCAACACGCTCCTCCGCGCCATATTGGATATCCGACGCCGGATCTTCAACATATCAATGTTCTGAAGATGTCTCAGGCGAAAACTTCACTTGTGAGAACCAGCGTCGAAAACTTCTCGTCCAGCATCCCCATGTTCTAAGGTGTCTCAGGCGACCCCCCCCCACACACACACCATGTTGGAGATCCGACGCCCGAACTCCAACATTTAATTTGTCGAAAGATGCTTCAGGCGAAAAAACTCATGTTTGTGGATTGGCGTCATACGACAACTCCTCCAACATCCCCTTTCTGTGATGATGTCTAATGGGACAAGCTTCCCCACACTATCTTGGATAGCCGTCGCCCAATTTTCAACATGTCAATGTTCTGAGGATGTCTTGGGCGAAAGCTTCACTTTGGGGAACCAGCGTTCTACGCAACATCCCCAGTTGCTGAGGAAGCGAAGCGCTCCTCCTCCTCCTCCTCCTCCTCCTCCTGCTCGTCACCCCTCCAGTTCGTGGCCAATGGCCAGGCAGTACAAAGAGATCGTTGGAGCCAAGTCCTGTCCGGGAGCGTGTTAAGCTGACGTCCGACGTAGATCCAGATGAGACCTCACTATTCCCGGGGTGCGGCGGTCTGCGAAGCTGCGGCCACCTTCGAAAGTTTCTGGGGGGTCCAGCTACGCAGACCCAGGTTACCCATCGGTCGTTGAAAGTAGGTATTTTTGGATTCCCAGATTCCAATCTACTTTCAGCGCCTTCCTACTTCAAGAGTCGAGTGGTTTTCCCTCTTCCTTCCTCTTCAGGAGGCGTGCGGAAACCCAATCTATTTCCAACGCCTTCCTACTTCATGTTTCTACCTGATTCTTCCGACCGATGGGTAGACCTGGCCAGCCCAGGGGGGCTGCTGCGAAGCTGTCGCCACTTCCGAGCGCTGCCGAGGGGGCCCAGCAGAGCGGCGCCCCACGCAGGCTCAGATCAGGCCTGGCTTCATGTCCCGTGGGCCTCCCGGAGACCTGGCGGCGCGCCTGCGGGCCTCTGGCCTCCCCCCTCCGCAAGGTGCCGGACGGAAGCGGAGAACATGGCGGACGAGCTCGGCCTCGCTCGCTTCTTGCACCAGGTTTAAGTCGGGCCTGTCCCTCTACAGGAGGAAAATTCAATCAAACAGAGTCAAAAAATAATCAGGGGAGGATGTTGTGAGTATTTGTTGACAATTTGGAAGTATAATTTTGGCTATTTTTATTTTTTCGTCCAAGATCCCCCTGTAGGAGGACCGGCCCGACTTAACACTAGGTGCGAGCAATTGATCTTCTGGAGCGCCAGAGCGTCATGGCGCGTGGGGCGCACTGCTTGTCCGGCGTGTCACTGGAAAGTGTTCGCGACCCTCCTTCGTGCCAATTTCGTTGTGGTCCTTTCCCTCCTTCCGCCGTCTCACGGTTGTTGTCGCATGAATTGTTCGGCCCTTCTTCCGTAGTTTTCTGTCGCTTCGTTCCCACCCCCCGTTTCCTCTTCGAGCTTGGGGCCTCAGTCGTTGCCCTTCCTGTTGCTATCTTACGAGTCGCGCAGCGTGCGCGCTTCGCATATAGTGCACACCTTGTATTGTCATCAGTCTCACTATTATGGGCCAGCTCTTCTTGACATTTTTTACTGCGGATAGGATGGGTACGTCACAGGGTAATGTACTACAGGAGTGAGGGGGGTGACGCTGGCATGGCTAGGATTGTATGAGTTCATTTGAATCATAACCCCATACAGCTTTCAATGTGAAAAATGAGACGCTTCACGCGATGAGAGATAATCTTGTAGGACTGATGCGGCGGGGGATTGGGGTGGTAGGGCGCACTGCACGTGGCCAGCTCTGGCCGAGCTAGGGGGCGGCGTACGCGCGAGGGCCATGTGGCGCCCACCGACACTCCTCCTCATGCCTCGTACCAAGGACCTTGTAACGAGCAGCTTCAGGACGGAAGCGTTTCATAGTTGTCGGGCCATTCGCGGGCTTCGCGACCTATCGGTGCTGGGACACCTTTGGCGGCGCCTGCGGCGCCGCCCTTGGCGCGTCCGCGCGCCAGAGAGGGGGGGCGGGGCCCAGAGCCGATCCCAGAAATCCGCGCGGACCTCCGCAAGTTTGTGGTTGTGCAGTTCTGCCATCCTTGAAATCTCGGGGGGGTCGGAGGCGCGCCACGTCGGATTTCAGCCTGCTGGCGGGTGCTTCCCAAGAAAGTCGTTTTCCCGGCGGCCACGACGGAGGACCATGCGCCCACGACGGAGGACCATGCGCCCGCATGGTTGTTGAAGCCTTAGCCGTTCGCACCATCGGTTGTTTGTCCCAACCCTGCCGTTCTGCAGGATCCTCGTGTCGACTCCGCGGCGCCACGCGTCCCAACTCCTCCCATTCGCTCTGGTCCGAGAGCCAAGTTCTTAAAATCGGGAGGATGACACGCGTGGCAGGCATTAGGCCATGGACGTACGCGTTGTATTAGATGTTTAACCCTCTCGAACGATAGTGGCTCTAGACCGATGCTCGGATGTAAAGGCATGCCCAAGACTTGGAAGACAATTCTTGATTTGTCTCTCGGCCATTCTCTGGCCCACTGCACTGTGATCCAGGGCGCTGATGAAATATTTCTTTTCTTCTGCACGGTCGGCGGAGCATACACGTCACGAAGATGCCGATTGATCGGACGAGAGTGCCAACAGCACAAGCTAGCTGGGGGTGCGACCAGTCCGCGCAAGATTTACGACGATGTTTCGCCTCACGCCCACGATTTGCAAGCGGAAGTGACGGTGTCTTCTCGGAGAGGATCACAAATTTATGCTACGCTGCCGCGCTTCTGCCTCCTGAGGAGGTGACGTTGCGCCAAGCTGCTATGGCAGGTCGCATCCAGACTGATAGGATGAAAGCCTTGAGCCTACGAGTTCAGGCCAAGCAGGAGGCGCAGAGGGCGTCCTCCTCCGCAGGCACGTAGCGTGTTTTTACACATGTTCTGGCCACGTGGGGGGAAAAAAAGGCCCCCTCGCGGGAGGACGCTGGTGGTGGCGCGCTGGGCCCGAGTGCGGTGCGGCGGCAGCGCACACGTGCAAGCCAGGGTTGGGCACGCCGGTCGGGAGACGTGCTCGTCCACGACCTGCAGAGGGCGGACAAGTTCTGGAGAGGCAGATACGAAAAGCTGGCGGCGGCGTTTGGGGACCCATCCATTGCGGACCGCCTCGCGGTGGTGGCGGGGCACCTGCACGACTTGGTCCACGACAAGGTCGCGTCGCCCGTCGACATGCTGCGGAGGAACGTGGCGCTCCACTCGGCCGTGGTGCCGCGGCCGCTGAGACTGCCCCTGCTCCGGCGCCGCGCCGCGCCCACAACGGCGAGGGGCTGGCGGCACGCAGCGACCTGGCGGTCGCGCCTATCAGCGAGCTGGACGTGGTTCGCCACGGGGAGCTCGACCTGGCGCAAGACCCGAGGCTGCACGGTGAGGACGAGTTCAGCGTGCAGGGCGCCGAGGTCGAGAACGGCATGGTCCGCGGGAGCATTCGCCAGGTGGGTGCGCGCTGCGCCGCGCGGGGCCCCAGGGTGGTGCTGGAGGCCGAGGGTCACCGCGAAGCAAGGGCGAGCGCTGCCCTCCCCTCCATGCCAGCGGTGTCCCATTTCCCCTGCCTCGGCGCCGAGGCCCTGGCTGGGGCTCGGGGTGCATTCGACTGCGGCGATTGCGTGGAGCACGACGGGGCGCAGGACGTTGGGCAGTACGACCAGGACGAGTTCAGCGTCGATGCCACGGTCGCGCCCGACCCTGAGCGCGACGGCGACGTGCCGCCCCCCTTGGACACGGTCAATTTCGACCTCTGGGCGCGCTTGAAGGCACGAGCTGCCAATGGGCCCCCCAGAGCGCCGCTGGGAGATGGCGCTCGCCAACTACATCCGCGTGGAGCACGTCTGGATGACGACCCTCGAGGCGTTGTGGTTGGCGGGCGGCGACTCGATGATGGACGCCAAGATGGAGCGCAGCGAGGTTGAGGTCTCACTCCGGGAGGCTGAGACACATATTGACCTGCTTCGGAGCCGCGGCGAGGGGAGAGAGGCAGGAGCCGTGCGGGCTTGAGCGCTCGCCCTTTCATGCCCCTTGCCTGTCAGAGGAGCCTGCCGCTGGCACGCGTGAGAGAGTAGCGCGGGCATCGGAGGCACGGCAGCTGGCGGAGAGATGTAGTGGGCGTGAGCGTTTCGGCCCCAACCCCCCTCGGAGAGCGGGATCATCATCGTCATCAGCATCACCATCGGCATCATCACCATCATCAGCATCATCATCATCATCATCATCACGTCCCCTCCTCTCCTCTTACTGTTTCCCCAGTTCTTCTGTGGTGTTGGGTCCTCGTTTTAAATCCGCAGCGACGCGTTTCTCACCTTCTTCCTTCATTTCCTTACGCCTCACCCCCTCCGCCCCGTGCGCGCCTGCGCTATCGGGGGCCTCCTCGTTCGTTTGCTGCCCCCACAGGGAGCTCCACCTACGATTGTGGAGGACGACCAATGGGGAGGAAACATGTTGCCAAATAGCATCCATATGCTTAAAACATGTGATAAACATGGTTTACAACCATGCTTAAGTGTTTAAAACATGCGTCCGACATGTGAAACACATTTTCATGCAATGATAGGGCTGCTAAGGTGTCCATTGTCGTGGCACCCACAAACCTACGAGTCCACCAGGAGGTGCTTGAATGGCGGCGACGAGCCCACTTCGGGCGGATCGTGCGCCACAGCTTCTTGTGCGGCCCCAGCGGCGATGCTCGCGCGGCGGCGCCTGGCCCATTGGGGGCGCACCCCTCGCGCGTGGCTTGTGCCCACAGGGAGCTTCGCCCGTGGCCCCGCTGGAGGTGCTCTCGCGGGGCGGCGCCCCGCCCCTCTCGGTGCACCCTTTCTTCGCGGATCGCGCGCCAGCGGAGAGCTCCCCCTTCGGCCCAAGTGGGGATGGTCGCGTGGCGCCGCCGCGCCCCTTCCAGCGCATCCCGTGCGCGGATCGGGCCCCAGGTGTGTGGCATCAACGCGCCCCTGCGCCCCCGTCCGCATGGCTCGAGCTCCCGCCCTTTTCCGCGGGGCGCGGCGTTCGGGGAGAGGACCGCGCCCTGCGGCATTTGTTTAAACCATCCAGCCAGGCCCAGCGGCAAATGAGGACATAGAGGAAGACATAGAGGAAGAGAAGATGAGGAGGAGGAGGAGGAGGAGGAGGAGGAGGAGGAGGAGGAGGAGGAGGAAGAGGAAGAGGAAGAGGAAGAGGAGGACGTGGGGCCGGAGGAAAATGCCGCCCCTGGGAGGAGACGTGCAGCTGCAAGGAAGGCCAGGGTTGGGCCATTCACCAGTCCAATTCTGGAGGACTGGGGGTTCATGGGCCCCTGGGGGCCCTCCCCCCGTGGGCGCGCGTGGGCGCAGCTCGCAAAAGTGGTCGTGACGGCGTCTGAGGGGGTGCGGGGGTGGAACACGAGCGGATACGGACGGGCCGCTGCAGACCTCCAGGCGTCGTGCCGAAGTCCCGGCGGGCCTCCTCTTCTGGAGCCGGACCCCCAGCGGCCGCTGCTCCGGGCACTGGGAGAGAATATCCCCCCCCAGACAAGTCGACTGAGGAAATCTGCACGGGCTCACTCGACACGGGCACTCGAGCGTGCCAGTGCAGTCCGCAGTCGGTTCCGCTAATCGACGTGCCTCTCGCGGGCTACATTCGGGTGCTCTTGGACGTCGATGAGCTGCCCGGCGGGGGTGCGCTCGGAATGCAGAGCCGTGCGCACGTGGAGTTCCCCTTGGCTGCTGTCACTGCGGGGCGTTTTGCGAAAGGGGTTCTGTCCGCCCCCGAGTGTTCGGGGCAAAGGGGCTGCCAAGAGTGAGGAGAAGCCAGGAACGGGGGAAAAGGCCGAGAGTTCCGGTGACCCTCTCCACAGAGGAGCACCTGCGTCAGAGGTCTGGGGTGAAGCGGTGGTCCGTTCGAACACCCGAACGGCCCTATGAGAATCCCCATCCTGCGTCATCGATTTGAGCCGTTACCCGGGGTTGTCCCGTCCAGTTTACGTTTTGCATCGCGCCACAATTGCTGCCATACAGCAGGTGATGAACCACCTGCCTCAGAGATCGCCCCCTGGACATCTTCTGGTGTGCGTTTTGACCGGAATTCCGACACGGATCCAGTGGCGATGAGGTCGACCCCCGATGCCAAAGCACGGGCGGAGATGCCAAAGCACGGGCGGAAATCGTCCAGAAACTTCGATATTCGACCATCGAAATTTCGAGGTGATGAACCACCAGATCGAGCAGCTGAAGGAGGAAATCAAGGAGAAGGACAAGGCCCTCGTCAGCGAGCACACGGAACATCAGAGCATCAGCCGCGACACCGAGAAGGCGGGGCTCGAGCGGGTGCGTGCACTGGCCCGCATCACACTGGATGCCTGAGGAGGGATGAGCGTACAGGTCCCCACACATGATTTTTGCTACAGTCGGGCCGCTGTAGAAGGAACCCTTTTCGCTGGGCAGGGGCTCAGTGTTCCTGAATTACTTTACAGCTTGTCTTAGGTGCTCCTTAGGCGTTCTACGTGAGATCGAAGTTTAACTCATGGAAAAAGGGAGCCTCGTTCCTTATTTAGGGTTCCTTATGGCAGCGTTTCGACTGTACGATGGGTCGAGAATCTGGTGTTTCGAAGGTGGTGGAAGGGCGTGGGAACCGTGCGGACGCGGGACGGGGGAGCAGAACAGGGCGCATCACGTTGAATGTCCGAGGGGACATGGATGCACCTAGAGCCCAGAGCCCCCCACGTCGTGAAACGGTTGCACGTCGCGGAATAAAACACATGATGTCAGAGGGTTGGGGTATGTCTTTCGTTCTCTTCCCCTCATTATCTACAATATCGCAATCATCTTCTTGTGCTGCAGGCCCAGCCAGGAGCAGGAGTCGAGAGAGTGGAGGAGGAAAAGGGGGGGGGAAAGGGTAGGATGGAGGGTTTTCACGTTCGCGGTATTAGCCGCCAGGCCTCCTGGTCGTGGGCACGGCTGGCAGCAGCTCGATGAATTAGCCGGGACGGTTTCCAGGAGGGGTTCAGGGATTGAATATGAGCGGAGATGGATGGGCAATTACATACCTCCAGGCGTCGCGTCAGAGTCTTGGCGGGCGTTTTTTTCTGGAGCGCCCCCCAAACACACACACACACACACACACACACACACACACACGCACGCACGCACGCACGCACGCACGCACGCACGCACGCACGCACGCACGCACGCACGCACGCACGCACACACACCACACACACACACACACACGCACACACGCACACACGCACACGCACGCACGCACGCACGCACGCACGCACACGCACGCACGCACACACACACACACACACACACACACACACACACCACACACACACACACACACACACACACACACACACACACACACACACACACACACACACACACACACACACACACACACACACACACACACCACACACACACACACACACACACACACACACACACACACACACGCACACGCACACGCACACGCACACGCACACGCACACGCACACGCACACGCACACGCACACGCGCACGCACACGCGCACGCGCACGCGCACGCGCACGCGCACGCACACGCGCACGCGCACGCGCACGCGCACGCGCACGCGCACGCGCACGCGCACGCGCACGCGCACGCGCACGCGCGCACGCGCACGCGCACGCGCACGCGCACGCGCACGCGCACGCGCACGCGCGCACGCACGCACGCACACACACACAGGCACGCACACACAGGCACACACACACACACGCACTCTTTTCTTTTGCGCCAGCGGCTAGGCAGAGGGTGACTGCGCTGGCGATAAAGGCATGAACGGGGGTACCGTTGGAGCGAATTGCGCCACCATGCAGGAGGAGGAGGAGGAGGGAGTAGGGACGCGGCCGACACACACACACACACACTCACGAACACACTCACGCACACACACACATTCACCCACACTCGCACTCACCACACACACACGCACGCACGCACGCACGCACACACACACACACACACGCAAGCACGCACACACACACACACACACATTCACGCATTCACACGTTCACACACACACACGCAAACACACACACAAACATATACACACATGCACACACACACACACGCTGCCTGGGCAGGGGGGGGGCATCGAGCAAGTGGCCCTTGACGAAGAGCCAGTCCCAGGGGTGGGAGCTCGGGAGCCCCAGGGCCAACGTGAAAAACAGCAGAGCATACTAAGAGGATAATAGTGGACCACCGCCGGCGAGAGCTCATCGCGGGCGGAGCCGACTTCTGGGCGGTGGCACGCCCGAGCCCGAGCCTGGCCCCAGCGCCCAGGTTCGAGCCCCGGCCCGGGCACGAGCTCGAGCCCGAGCCCGAGCCCGAGCCCCCAGCCCGGCCCCAGGGCAGCTCCAGGGCAGCCCCGGCCCTGGCCCGAGCCCGGGCCGGCGCCAGGGCGGGGGGCCTTGCGGCGGCACGGGTCGGCTTCAGCCGCCCTTGCCCTCCTCCGAGGAGGGCAGCGGGCGCGCGCGCGCGCGCCCCGAGTCAGTCTGGCCAGATCTCGCAGGCCCAGAGGTTGACACCAACACCAATTTCGGCGGTGTGCCTCCACTGAGGGGCGAAGATCCCGATCTCGGTGATGGTGTTCGTATTCTGGCTGAAATCTAGGATCTTCTCCCCCCTGTGGAGGCAACCTTCTGTGTTGGTGTTGGTGCTCATTTCCAGGCCTCCAAAGATCCCGGGGCGGGCGGACTCCTCCAAGTCGGTCTGCGCGCGCGCGCGCCGCGTGCGCCAGCGCTCCCGCCGCGCGCGCTCTGGGGGCCTGCCCGCGCGCCGGGTCCTGCGGAGCTCGGCCGTGGGCATCTCAGGGGGAGGAGGAGGAGGAGGAGGAGGAGGAGGAGGAGGAGGAGGAGGAGGAGGAGGAGGAGGTCCGTAGCCATTTCGGCTCAAGGCAACATATCGGGAATCCCCCCGTCTCGAGCCGGTCGAGGCGGACCCCCGCTCGTGGCCAAAGGTGCTCCCCCGAGCAGGCCACGTGCTTTACACTTTTACTCCATCCTCCCTCCCTATCGATCTCTCTTAGCCCCAACTCCCGCGGCCGCGCGCGATGGCCACAGAGGATGAGAGGAGCAAGCGACTCAAGGCTGAGGACGCAGACGCACAGATGCGCGCATACGTCGACAAAGCCAAGACCGAGCTGCTGGCCGCCGTCGCCACCGTCTCGGACAAGGTCGGATCGTCGTTCGAGTCCCTCGCCACCCGCATGGAGGAGAGATGCAGCGGCCTCCAAGTACAAATCGACGGACATGACAAGAGAGTCAAGACGCTGGAGGACCAGGTCAAGGCCCTGCAGTCGATTCTTGGCATCATGCAGAAGGAAACTCCTCAGCCTCCTCCTGCTGATCCGGCTTTTGATCGATTGGTCGACACCACCATCCTCATCGCCCGTGCCAAGCATCTGGTGGCAAAGGACGTCATGGAGCGAGCACTGCAGCCCTGGCTCGAGCGTGTCAACCTTTCCAGTGAGGACTACGTCATCGAAGGGAATCCCACGTCAAAACGGTTCGTCTTCAGAATTTCTGGAAGCAAGCAATATGCTGGAAGGAAAGTCTCGCAGGCCCTCGGCGCCCTCAAGAGGGAGGACGGGTCTTGGCAAAAGTTCGAGGCCGTCGACGTCGGTGGCGAGAGACAAGAGATCTATGTATCAGGTGACAAGAACGCGTGCCAGATCAAGCGTGAGTTGGCCTGCAAACAAGTTCGTAGAGTTCTTGAGAGGAAACATCCAGGTCTTCGATTCTTCACTGACAAGCAGAAGGGTGAGATCAGTTGCCAGTGGAAGGGATGTGTCAAAGTCACGCCTCGCCACGGGGACTCCAAGCCCGACATCCAGTACTCGGTCTCCAACCTCGTCTCCCTCGGCATTGACAAGGAGGCGCTGGCCTCCGAGTTGGACCGCGAATTTGAGGGTGACAACGAGACTGTGTGGAGCTCCTAGCCTTTTCAGGACCTGGTCAAAAGATTCGGGAGAACAAGTCCCGATGCAGTTTTGCAGCTGGAACGCTCGTTCTTTCTTCCATTACAAGGATTCTATCTGCTCCCAGAAGTTCAATCTTGCACGCAAATTCTTGGGTCCTGGCTGTGTCCTGGCTCTTCAGGAAACTCGGGGATCCCTGGCCCAGCTCGAGGACTTCCTCTACCACACTCACCGCCCCGACATCGGTACCCACTACTCGTTCTCCCCCCCTACCTCCTCAACATCGTCGATAACAAAAGGTGGAGTTGTCACGTTTTTTCCGACGTTCGACCATCTCGGTGAACGGCGCCCCAACATTGGAAGGGAAGACATCGTCGCGGGGAGGGTCATCCACACGATCTTGGAATTCTCTCGGGATGAGTGGATATCGATATTTAACATACATAACTTTAAGATCCCTGCAGAGTCGAAGCAGCGAGTGTCCAGCTCAATTCGTGCCAGGTTGCGTGCGGCGAGTTCGACGCCGCACAAGTGCCAGGTCGTAGTCTTGGGCGATTTCAACTTCAGCTCGGAGCCCCCTCGGTACTCAGAAGAGGTCCCGCTGGTCTCGGCCGTCCAGAACATTCAGAATTGGCGCTCTCAGTCGGCGTCTCAGTTTTCTGGAGTCCTGGGGGAGATGGTTGAGGTGGAGTTCCCCGAGCCCACCCACTTTTACAAGCCTGATAAGAAGTTGACAAACATTGATCGCTGTTTTATCTCGTGCCCTGGATGGCTCTGTAACCAGTTGAGTATTGAGGGCCAAGCGACCGAGCACCCCGAGGCGCTGGACGTGCAGGGGCTGTCCGACCACGCGCCCGTCCTGGTCTCTCTGGCTGCCGCTCCCAGTATCCCCGGCCACGAGCGACCCATCCCTAAGGAAGTCTTTCAGAGTCTGGAGTTTCGGAGGTTCCTGGAGAAAGCCCTGGAGGCTGGGCCCACGGATGGCCTCTCCCCGCCACTGGAACTCGAGTGCCAGACCATGATCATGCGCGAAGCTGCCCGCCATGCCCGCGACCATACCCTGATCAAGAACCCCAGCAGTCCCCTGGCCCAATTCCTGGTGGTCAAGTCGGTAGCCAGAGCGGTTTGGAGGCAGGATCTTTCATGCGCACGGCGTGTCCGTGCTTCGCACCCGCTCGGAGAACGTTTTCTGGACATCGATCCTCTCCAACGGAGCGTGGTACTTTTAGAGCCTGACGAATTCCTTCGAGTCTCGAACGACCTGAACATGAAGATTGCGAACTCCAGGATGCAAGAGGTCAATCAGGACATTGCCAACGCCTCGAGCGACAGAGACAGGAACAAACATCGACGTAGGCTGAAGGGACTCGTCAGGAGAAGCAGGCTCTGGTCGAATATTGATCGCCGCCTTCATCTCCACGGTCTCCGGCATGAGTCGGGTGTCTGTCGGGAACCAGGAGATATTCTGGGGAAGCTCTCAGAGCATTGGGGGAAGGTTTTTGCCGCCAAGCCGATCGATCGGGAAGCAGCTGTCTCTCTCCTCGACACCTACCCGCCTACTGCCAACCTTCACGATCTCCCTCCGCCTACTCTCCGTGGGATAGAAATCTACATTCAGAAGCAGTCTCATAGTGCCCCTGGGCTTGACGGATTACCATATGCGGCGTGGCAAAACCATCCTCGGGGAGCTCTGTTGCTTGATAGGTGTTTATGGTGGCTTCTCGAAGGCAGAGCCCTTCTTCCGTCTTTCAACTGTGTGCGAGGCGCCTTCATCCCGAAGGGGTCCGAGCCTGGCGACTCTGAGGAGATCATCAGGACCTGTGCCCAGACCCGACCCCTCGGCCTCAAGCAGACCTGCAACAAGATTGTGACGGGGGTCGCCATTCAGAAGTTCTCGAGGGCCCTGGGAGATTTTATTATTTTCTCGCAGCGCGGGTTCGTCAGGGGTCGCAATTTCGGTTTGAACATTCTCGAACTCGACCAGTTTTGCAGGATCTGCTCTATGGACGAGGAGGCGTGGGCCAACCTTCCCGCACTGATCTCGTTCGACTTCGGCCAAGCGTTCCCCTCGGTCTCGCAGGAGTGGCTGTTCATGTGCCTAGCCCGAACTAACATCCCCGACCCTCTCTTGAAGCTCCTGAGAAGTATCTATGAAATGGTTCAATGTTTCGGTGTTCAAAATCGTCGTCTTCAATATCTCTTCGACCTCTCCAGCGGAATAATCCAGGGGTGTCCTGCCTCGGGGGCCCTGTATGCGGTTGGAAGTCATCCTGTGCTAGCTGCGCTCCACGACCGACTCGATCGACATAGATATGCTCTGACGCGCGCATGTGCTGACGATGTTGGCTCTGCTCTGGCTAAACTTTGCTTTCTAGAGGTTCTAAAAGAGATCTTCGACTGGGGGGAACGGGCCACCAATTTAAAACTCAAGCCAGCTAAGTGTTTTATAGTGCCGCTCGCAGGCGAATTCTCTAATGATCTCGCGGAGCTTTACACCCTCTGGCTGCAGAAGCATGCGCCCGCGTGGGCAAGCTTTCAAGTTGTACCTATGCTAGTCTATCTCGGCATGAAGCTGGGACCAGCGGTAACGGATCACGCTTGGCGTGCCCCACTGCAGAAGTGGGCTCAGAGAGGAGCACAGATTTCGCGCATTGGTGCTCCGACGTCGGTCACACAGTACATGTATGCCAAGCGTGCCGTGCCTTGCCTCTCTTACGTGAGTCAGTTCTCTCTTCCTCCCTCGATGTCCTCCCTCTTCACCTGTCCCACCCGCCGCCTTGAGCATGCGTTGCACGCGTCTCTCTTTAACGTCCCCCACTGCTGTCTCACCAGATCGGGGTTCTTCAATCTGAAGAATTGAGGGGGGACCCGCTGTGCCGAGCGTCGCTGTCCTCCAGTTGGCGACGCTTCTGCGTAGCGCTATTTCGACTTTTCCCGAGCACGGGGCTCTGATGATCGGTCTCAGACGTCAGGCCGAGAAACACCTCCCCATTGTCCAGTGCCGCCGCAACCAGCTGTCCCCGTCTTTTTGGAAAAATCAGGCCTTGGTCCAGGACCTTGCCGAAGCCGCTGCTGGATTCCCGTCTTTTCGTTTCCTTTCTGTCGCTGGTCCCAAGGCCCTCGAGGCCGTGAGAAACGCCTCCGAGAATCGTGTCGGCTCCCAGCGCCTCAGAGTTCAAAGAATTGTGAGTATTTCATTGTACAGTTCCCTGTTCCCTGATACATTATCTAGAGATTTTCGGTCTTGGCTTGAGAGGTGGCACCCGTCCCATCGAGAACAGATCTCCCGTATAAACTGGCCTGAGGTTCGCTCTGTCCTCGCCAATTCGAAACCGAGCTTTGCTAACGCCGTGTGGAAAACTCTATGCGGTGCGTGGATTACTACAGGACGAATGCATGACGCAGAAGAATGTGAATGTCGACTAGGATGCTATAAGTGCCCCGACACCCAGCAACACTATTGGGACTGTCCCAGATTTCTCCACAATGTCGCTTTAATCCTAGGGCATGATGTCCCAGCCTGCCCCGTCGGGCGATTTGGGCTTCTCTCCCCGTCCCCTCGCTCCTTCGAGGTTCCTGTCGCCTCCTTCTTCTTCTTCAACCTTCTCCTAGCACAGGGCAAGGTGCTGGCCACGCCTCCCGAGAGCTACGCCCTGCACAGCCAGGCGCGTGCTTCTCTTTCGCGCGCGCGGTCGGGACGATGAGGACTCTTTCTTGGGGCACGTGCGAGGAGGAGGAGGAGGAGGAGGAGCAGGAGGAGGAGGAGGAGGAGGAGGAGGAGGAGGGGGAGGAGGAGGAATAGGAACAGGAACCTGGGGACGCAGTTTCCCTCGACCGACGCGCGCGCCGCGACGGGGCCGCCCGCCAACCCGCCACGGGCGGCGGCCCCGCCCCCTCGGCAGACGACCGGGAGTGCCACGCCGAGGCATCGCACAATGGCGGGGGGGGGTCCTGTGGCAACCCCGAACTTATGCGAACCGGGAGAGGACGATCAGCGCCTCCGGCACGAACATCAGGAAACGCTCGTCGAGCACCGTCGGCTGCTCGCCCAGTCGAGCTGCTCCCACAAGCAGGGGGGGAGGGAGGAGGGAGGAAGGAGGAGGAGGGAGGAAAGAGGAGGAAAGAGGAGGGAGGAGGGAGGAGGAGGGAGAAGGGAGGAGGTTGGTTGGTTGGTTGGTGACCTCCCAGCGAGGTGGCATGTTGGAACTGCGGGCACAGCCCCTTTAGTAGAGAGCCGCGGGGCCCAGGCCGGCGACCGACAGCAACCCCACAACGTCAGCCCAGGGATGGATGAGACCACTCTCTGGAAGCAGATTTGGGACAGAGGGGGAGGGTACGAGGACTTGCACGCCACCGTGCCCAAACCTCCCTCAGCTTCCCAGGCTCCGTCCGGAGAGGTGCCACGCCCAAGCCCAAAAGGCAAACGCTAGATTAGGGATTTCCTGGGAAGGGAGGGGGCAAAGGCGACCCTCCGGCAGGGATCCTCTACCGGTCTCGACTCCGCCCAACGCCAGCGCACGACGTAGGTGCGAGGCTCGCAGGATGGAGGGAGAGAGGGTCAGTCCCAGGCACGAGAATACAGCCCGAAGGGGAGGGGCGAAGCTCATCCTGAAGACCAGCCCACCCCAGCCCAGACCAGCTCCCGAGGTCCACCGTCGGCTGCTCGCCCAGTCGAGCTGCTCCCACAAGCAGGGGGGGGAGGGAGGAGAGAGGAGGAAGAGGAGGGAGGAGGGAGGAGGCTCTGGCGGTCGGGGGAGGAGCTGGAGGACAGAAGAGGACAGACGAGGGAGGAGGGCAGAGGGGCTCGGGTTGAGCGGGGGAAATGGCTGTCCTCTTCGTCCTTCTTCCGCTGCCCTCCTCCCCTTCCCCCTCCTCTTCGCTTGCCCTGCTCACCAGGGCCCCTTCGTTACACCATCCCCACCTCTGTTCCTCTCAGACCGCTTCTGGGACGGATATGGGGGGAGTTCACCGACAACCTGAAGAAGCATCAGAAGGCCACTACGAGGTCGCACCAGGTGGTCGAGCAGCAGCAGGGGGACCCCGCGCCTCTTGAGTCTTTCTGCATCACCGTCTTGCCCACGGTTGTCGCCTCATTATTCTTGAGTCGGGTTTGTCCCTCTACATGAGGAAAATCCAAAAATAGTCACAAAATAGTCAGGGGACGATCTTCTTATTTTTTGAATATGATCGCGTATTCCTGGGTATTTTTTTTTGTGTGTTCAAAATCCACCTGTAGGGGGGCATGCCCGACCTAACATTACACACCTCCGTCGCAGTGACACTCGCACCCGTTAAATAAGGCCCCTTTGCGAGCACTGGCATCGATATCGCCACTCTTGCTGCGCCTTCTGCCATCAGGGCTAAATGCTGGTACTAGTATGCCAACGGTGACGTACACACATGCTGCCACGTATATTAGGGTTCTTAGCGCTACACTTTCCACGACACATGCACACTGTCACGACTTTATTATGTTCTTGCCCACACATATGCGACGGAGTACTAGCTTCTACCACCACTACTGCCAATGCTACTACTCGTCCCGTACCCAACCAGACTCAGAGCATCACGACTAGCAACGGTTCCACGATCAGTAATGCGGCGACCCGTTGTCGTGGGCCTTTTGGTTGAAACATGCGCGCGACAAGCAATTGTTGTGATTACGAACGTTGCTACCCCGCTTCTTATAACTACGGGAACTGATCCGAATGCTATCCCAACAGATACTAATACACGGACAGTTGCTACTGCTGTTGCGATTCTTGTGCTGTTGTCTGAGCGACTGCCCCTGCACTTAGCAGCACTGACACCATCCTCACAAAGACGACCTCGACATTGCTGCGTAATTTGCCGTTGCGACAGCCCCGCCCATCACCATTGAATGTCTCAGTCGACTTGGCGCGTACGCTTATTTCTCCTGCTCCTCCTCCACGGACCACCGGCGTATTGTTCCCAACCATCCTGCGGTTTTGGGTCTTCGTTTTAAAGAGACAGCGCCCCGCGTCACTCCTCCTTCTCGCCCCCTCCCTCGTCCTTTCGTCATCCGCACCATCAGTATCATCAGCATCATCATTATCAGCATCAGCATCAGCATCAGCACCATCAGCATCAGCATCGTCATCAATATCATAATCATCAGATTCATCATCATCATCATCATCATCATCATCATCATCATCATCATCATCATCATCATCATCATCATCATCATCATCATCATCATCATCATCATTATGGCCGTCATCATCACCACCTTCGTCATCATCATCGCCGTCATCACCACCATCAGCACCACCGTCAACACCCCTCACACGTGTCGTGGCCCCGCAGGGAGCTCCACCTAAGGCCACAGTGGCGCAGCCCGCATGTGGGCGACACGCCCATTCCGGCATACCCCTCACACGTTTCGTGGCCACACAGGGAGCTACATCTACGGCCCCAGCGGCGCAGCCCGCATGAGGGCGTCACGCCCGTTCCAGGGTATCCCTCACACGCCTCCCTGTGGTCCCAGTGGCGCAGCCCACATGTGGGCGACACCCCTGCGGCACGCCCAGCACATGTTTCGTGGCCCCAGCGACACAGCCCGCATGCAGGCATTGCCCCATAGGAGTTCCGCCTCCGACAATACTCACAATTGCGGTACCCACAATTGCAAATGGTTGGTTTCTTCGCCAGGCTCATGTTTCTACGACACGGGCCCCCAGAGTTCCCTGGCTGGTCGTGCGTCGCGGGTTGCTTTTTTGATGGCCTTGGGGTCCGAGAAGGGCCCTGGACGGCCAACCAGTGAAATTACCCACCGCCGTGTTCTGTTTGTCCCGCGACGCTCGGAGGTCTGGGTAACTATGGCTACTCCTTGTGATTACTTTCCTCCTCGGCCGCCAGAGGAGATCAAAAAGCTCGAGTCCACCATCCAGGAGGCGGAGTCCGAGAGGCAGAACCAGCGCAAGGAGTTCGAGGCGCGGGGGGTCGCACGAGGAGGAGAGCAGGGAGGCTCCGAGGTATGGTTTGTCTCCCTGCGGCCACTGTTTTCTATCGTGGGCGATGTCTCGCCCCCCATACCCGCGATCCGTCCGGAAAGCCAGGCCGTTGATCACCACCCACCAGACCACCCCAACCCAACCCGAAGGCTTCACTTTGCCGACCATTCCCAGTGAGGGGCGTCGGGGGACAGTGAAAACCATCCTGACGAACGCCTTGCGGCCATCGCTTTCGGTGGAGCTCCCCCTTGGGCCACGAAACGTATGAGGGATGTGCCGAAATGCATGGGGAACCGTATGCGAACTGCGCCACGGAGGCACTCGGTGGAGCTCGCTATAGGGGGGGCCGAGGTCCCCATGCTGCCAGGGGGATCGGGTTGGAGAGCCTCGAACACCCCCATCGCCTTGACACAGCCATTCGTGCAGCCGCTTATGTTGGTCATGCTAGTTCCCCCTTCCCTCCATGCTGGCTGTCTCTGCTCCAATGTTCGCATGCCCTTCTAAGCAAGAGCAGGGGAGGCTGTGATCAGCGAGCGCAACATCTTAGGAACCCAGCTGGTTCGACGGAACGAGGAGCTGGCTCTGCTGTACGAGAAGATCAAGATTCAGGAGGGCGGCGTCTCTGTAATGCCATGTGACTCTCGGTGTGGTCGTCCATGTGACTTGTATCAGGAGGGGAGAAAACACACAGACACAATTAATCGTCGACTCCCAAGAAAATATGGGAAAATATGGGAAGTGGGGGGGAAGGCACAAACCCAGCAAATATGGGAAAGTATGGGGGATCTCGTTATTTGTGTGTATTTGGTTGTGGAATCGCCCTTTGCTTGTTCGGTGCTGCACGTAGCTTGCCTCGCCATGCCGCCAGCATTCGCTCCACACTATCCTGCTCATTTTGGCATCGCGCACCGTCTGCCCACGCGAATGCCGTTTGAGGAGAGCACTCTCAAGAAGGGCGAGATCCAGTACAAGTTGCGCCAAGATGAGATCAAGAAGCAGAAGGACGCCCTTCTCGATGTCTTCAGTCCTGCGGTTGCCGCGTCACTGGCCAGGAGGGAGGAGGAGGAGGAGGAGGAGGAGGAGGAGGAGGAGAAGTAATTAGGAGGATGAGGAAGGAAACTGACTAGGAGGAGCAGCACCCTCAGGAGGACGAGGAGCGGGAGGAGCACGAGGACCAGGAGAAGGCTGGGGAGGAGAACGGAACAGGGCAACAACGACGAGGACGCATCCGGATCCAGAGTTCTGGCCCACGCTGAGGCGATGATGCAATCCCGAACGACTTGAGCAAAGCGCCGATGCTGAAGTGAGGTCCATGCTTCAGCAAGAACGCCGTTTTGAAACACCGAAGTCGCTCCGATTGGGGAAACAGTTGAAATACGGTGTGTGTGTGTGTGTGCGAACGTGTGGAAATACACAGAACGGGCGGGATATTTTCAGGACGTTGCCAGGGACAAGCGGAAAGTAGTTCTCATACAGAGGAAATGCAGAGGGCAAGCTCGGTGTCTTCGTGCCGCATCCGACATCCTCCCCCTCCCACGAATCCTTCCCTTTTGCGTTGACATGTTTATATTACCCGGCTGGGCTGGCCTTGCTGCGGAATCGGTGAGGGGGATCTATACATTGAATCAGGAGGAGGAGGAGGCGAATTGAGTAGGAGGAAGGATCAGGAGCATGAGCAGGATGCGCATGAAGAGCAGGTGGACGGGAGGGACTCGGCGGAAGGGGAAAGGATGGGGGCGGCAGCGACGGAGAAGGCCTGATCTGGGACGAGAGCGCCGTCTGAATCGACGGGCGCAGGGCAGCAATTCTGAAATGTGGTCAACCCTGCGGTGGGATCACCATTGTCTGAAGTTCCCCATGCGCTCCGAGTGCAAACGCACATCGGACATGTTGACTAATGACGCCCTATGTGCGTGTGTGTGAAAAGGAACCAATACGAAATGAAGGCGGGAACAGCGCTGGACATTGCTGGGGGAAAGAAGAGAGTAGTGTTCATAGTGCTCACTTGCGAAGCAGGAGGAGAAAGAACAGGAGCAGATGAAGGAGGACAAGTACTAGATTCGAGCATCTTGGCCACTCGGGAGGGGGTATGCGATCCTTACCGCCTCCTTTCCTCCTCCTCCTCGTGCTCCCCCTCGTTTCTAGAGTCCTCCAATCCCTGTCATTCTCATTATCACTCCTCTCCTCTCTTCCTCCCTCCGCCTCCTCGTCCTCCCTGCTGCTGCTCATCTTCCCTCGTCATCCCTCTCCTCCTCGTCCTTCTCCCTCTTCGTCCCGACATGCGCGCTCCCGCGCGTGCGTTCGAGGTAGTGAATGGATGGAGGAGCTCGAGAAAGGAGATAGATACCACAGTGCGAGAAGGAGAGCAAGCGAAGAATAGGGAAGATGAAGGTGGAGAGAGGAGGAGGAAGATGAGGAGGTTGATGAGGAGGAAGAACGGGTACAAGTCCAAGATGCACCATGGATGTTGCAATACAACCTCCCTCCAAGTTCCCTCTTGATAGGCTCATGCAGGAATTTATTTGCATTGCGGAGAGTGCCCCAGTGAAAGACAAACGTCTGAAAATGCACCATCGTGCCATAACATTGTTCTTTCGACTTCACCGCTCCGGATCAACGTGACTGTTGCGCCCTGGCAATCCTCAGTCGTGCCCAAATACCGTTCCTGTGACTTCAACGCCGCGATGCAACGAGACAGTTGCGCCCTGACAATCCTAGCTCGTGCCAGAACACAATTCCTGGGACGTCAATCATGAAATTCCATGAAACTGCTGCAAACTGCATGTGCCACGAGTGTGCGCGGCGCTCAAGCGAGAGCCACATTTTGAAAAGGAGCCGCCCTTTATTTTTTGGGGGGAAATGCATCAGACTGTTAGGCCCATTTTGCGCAGCGCCAGAGCGCGAGCCACATTTTGAAAACCACTCGCCCTCCATCGGCGAGAGACTCATTTTGAAAACCAGCAGCCCTCCACCTTTGACAACCTTCGGCGTCAGTATCAGAAATGGCGAGGACGTCTCAGGCGAAACGCCCGGCCGCCATGCCAACATGTCTGCGGGTACGGCAGGGAGGAGTTTTTGCATGAGCATGAGGACAATCATATGAAATTGGAACATCTACATTACCAGTGGCGGGCTGTTTTTCAATCCCAGGACTTCTTCAGGGTCGAGGACGACGCTGGGGTGGTGTGGTGTAAACTATGTTCCCCGTTGTCCCGTGGAAACAATGGAAAATGTATACACCTGGATCCCGCGTACACCAGGATCCGCTTTCCTGTGCGAATTTCAGTGCGGGGCCATAAAACATTCGGTGTATAGAGTCCGGCCCCTTAAATACGGTGTCACGCCTGGTTCTCCCTGCACCTGGGACCTCGTCGCAAAGGCCCGCCGTCCCCCGATCGGCCCTTCTTATCTCTGCACATGGTTTATTTCTAATTCTTCGGGAGTTCTTTGATTTTTCATTTCTAATGGTTCTGTCCTGGGCCTGTTCCTGGCCACTGGGGGGCCAGGAACAATTGGAAACGAGCACAATTAGAAATGAGCACGATTAGACATGAACGACGTGCAGTTGGAGGGCTAGCCTGTCATACCTCCTGCGGCGTTGGCCGTGGGGGTCAACCAGGTGCTTCTGCCACCAATGAGCCAACTTTCAGCCAGAAGGCTTGGCGAAGGACCAGGAGGAAGAAGGGGGGGAGGGATGAGGGAGGAACAGGGAGGAGGAGGAGCGGCACGAGACGAAGGAGCAGGGAGAAGGAGGAGGTGGCTCTCCCTTGCGGGCCCCGGCCAGCAGAGATCCCCCCTTGCAGCCCCTCTGGGCCTAGATGGGGTCCGAGCAGACGGGGTCGGAGCATCGCGCCGCATCGCCGATGCACCGGCGATGCGGCTCGGTGTGGAGCCCGATCTCTTTCGCGCTGGCGTCGACGATGCACCGCCGACATCGCCGATGCATCGGCGACGCGGCGCGGTCCTCCGACCCAGCTACTCGGACCCCATCTAGGCGGCCTCTACTGCAGCCTCCTTCCCTCCGCCGGCCGCGGCGATCTGGCTCCGAGCGGTGTCGCCGCGAGCGGCACCCCAGCGCAGCGGCCGCGAAGCCAGAACATAGCTCCCGGGGGCGGCAGCGGAAGCGCCACGGGGCCGGGAGAGCACGGAACCGCGTCCCTCCCGCTCCTTCTCCCTCCCGCTCTCTCTCCCTCCCCTCTCCTCCTCCTCCTCCTCCTCCTCCTCCTCCTCCTCCTCCTCCTTCTACTCCTCCACCTTCGCCTGTTCCTCCTCCTCCTCGTCCTCCCCCTCCTTCCCCTCCTCCTGCTTCTCCTCCTCCCCTGTCGCCCTCTCCACCTCCTTCGCCTTCTCCGTACCTCCTCCCCGTCCTCCCCTTGGGGAGAGCGGGAGGAGAGGGACTCCCAGCCCGAAGCATACCACTATCCTTGTGATTGGCACCACCCCATCTCCATGCTGGTCTCCAGGGTTCCTGGAGTTTCTGGGGTCACACCTCTCGGACTGTCCCCGCCTTTGGGCGTGTCAGTCTCGGAGTTCGTGATCAGCTCGAGGCCTTTTTGGGGGAGGAGTGGAGCGGGGAAAAGGGAGGAGCGGGGAGAGGGGGGGGGCGAAGGAGGAGGGAAGGGGAAGGCGAGTTCTCCTTCTCATCCTCCTCCTTCCCTCCCTCTCCCTCCTCTTCCTACGCCCCTTCACACGCGTCCCATTGCAATGCACAACCCTATTCCATCATTGGGCTCTGGTTCTGTGGAACGTGCGGCTTATTTTGACTTGGTAGTAGTCGGAATGATCTCAATCAGGCGTCGAACAATCTCTTCAACGGTACCAGGAGGGGCACCTTGATATAATTAAGTATTGTAGTGGCCTCCGGCCAGTGCCGCCGATCCGGGGTGCTACCGATTCTGCTTACAACGGATGACCTGTTATGTTTAAAGGTAGAGCGCTCGCTCGAGACATTCTCAGAATATAGAGATGTTGAACTCGCTTGGGCAACCTTCGGACATTCGAAAGTGACGATATCGCGTGAACAGCCAAACTCATGGGATTTTGACGTGGTTGATGTATGACACCTTTTGGGGGCGCTCCTGGGCTTCTCGGGGGGCTATTCGGAGGCATCCTGAAGGCTTCTTGGGGGCGCGTTGGAGAAAGTGTTTGAATCTCCTGGGGGCCTTTTGGGGGCCTCCTTGGGGCTTCTTGGGTCGTCTTGGGCTCTTCTTGGGCCGTCTTGGGGCCCTCTTCGGGTGTAAATGGCGTCAGCCATGGCGTCGGCCCTCCCCCCCCTCCTCTCCTCTCCCGAGCCTGGAAGGCGTCAGCCATGGCGTCAACCCCCCCCCCCCCCGACAGAGTGAAGCTTGAGCGAGCTCCCCCCCCCCCTCCCCTCTCCCGAGCCTGAATGGCGTCAGCCATGGCGTCTGCCCTCCCCCCTGTCCCCCCCGACTCCCCCCTCCCGGGCCTGAATGGCGTCAGCCATGCGTCTCCCCCTCCCCCGCCCCCCCCCCTCCCCCTTCCCGGGCCTGAGTGGCGTCAGCCATGGCGTCAGCCCCCTCTCCCCCCGACAGAGCGAAGCTAGAGCGAGCTCCCCCACCTCCCCCCCCCCGGGTTCTTATGTTGTCAGACATGGCGTCCCCACCTCCCACCCCCCCCCCGACTCTCTCCTCCCTGGCTTGAATCTCCCCCCCCTTCCCCCCCTCTGGACGCTGAATGAACTTCAGCTATGGGTCCTCCCCCTCCCGCACCCCGGACCCGAGCTCTATTTCACGAGCTCCCCCCCGCCTGAATGGCGTCAGCTGCGTACGGCCCCCCCCCCCCCCCCCCCCCCGACTCCCCCTCGCCTGCCTGAATGGCGTTCAGCTTATGGCGTCAGCCCCCCCCCCGTCCGACATATCGAAGCTTGAGCGAGCTCCCGCCCCCCCTCCCACTCCCCTTCCCTTGCCTGAATGGCGTTGAGCTCCCCCCCGCCCTCTCGCCCCAACCCCGGGGCTGATGGCGTCAGCCATGGCGTCAGCCCACCCCCCCGAATCCCTTGGCCTCCCGTGCCT